TTCATTTTTTGTTTTGTTTTTATAAAAAAAATTTAAAATTTGTATGGTGTTTATTTATTCTTAATTAATGTAAGCCTCATAGTGTTCTCTTGTATTTATTTCTCTTCTTAATGGAGTACTACTTCCAAGAGAATAAAGAGGTTTTACATATGCCTGAGATATCATTAATTTGCCCCAAATTTTAAAGATAGTTTAATTGGAGTTAAAATTCTAGGTTGAAGGTTTTTGTCTTTCAACACAGAAAAAATTATTCTGTTGCCCAGCGTCCGTTATTGATATTAAGGATTCCTGTTTCTTGTCAGGGGATCTACACTTTCTCTCTGGAAACTTTTGGAATTGTCGTTTTGGTTTTTGGTTTCGTGAAACACATCTTTATTATCTTTACCTTCTGGGTTCTCATGACATGACAGCAAAGGAATAAAAATGGGTGTAAACTTCCAACAATGAAAAGAATGTCGATGGCAAGAGGGAGATATGAGCTAAGAGAAACCCCTACTTCTCCACCCTGAGGTCATGGGGCACGACTCTTCCTCTTCAAAGAAGCTGAACAACCTTAGTGTGGGAGCCAATGCCACATCTGGGCTCCATTTCTACTCACATGGAGCCCAGTAGTCAACAAGGCCTGTGGTATACACCAAGTTCACAGTCAGCATTACTAGTACTGCCAATGACTTGGTATTTGAGGGAATTGTGATACATGAAAAAGAAACATTGTGAAATACAGAAATGACACCGTAGGAAACAAGAGATAATTCAGGGTAAATAAGGAGCTTGAAAGAAACTAATTTGTATCCTCAGAGACATTTATGAAGACACCACATTAATTAAACAAGAAGAAGATGCTATGAAAATGCTTATAAAAAGTTGGAGGATAAAATAGAGGAAAAGTAGAAGAAAAAGACAGAGAGTATAAAATGAACAACAACAAAATAACATTCAGAATAACCCAGAATAACAGTTAGAATCAACATCCAACTGATAGGAGATCCAAAAAGAAAAATATGTGGGGAGAAATCACAAAGAAATATTACAAGAGACTGTCTCAGAGTTGAAGGATACAAAACTTAAGAAAGAATTGTTTCCCTGTTTACCTACTCTAATGAATAAAAGACAGCAAACGCAACATTTAAAAATTCAGAACATTAACAATACAAGAGAGATCTTAAATATTTCCAGAGAAAGAGAAATGAAGGAAAAATGACAACCCATAAAAAAATGGGCATCAAAGACTTGTAAGAGTAATACTAGATGCTAGAAGACAATAAAGAAATGCTTCAAATTATGAAGGAAGATTTTCAACTAGAATTCTATATCCAGCAAAAATAACTGAATTTTGAAGGCAGAAGAAAAGATATTTTCAGAGAGATGAGGTGTTGGAAATGCTTAATTCCATGTACCTTTTAAGAGAAGTCATTTGAGGACACATTCCTGCAAAATCAGGGAGTAGGGCAAGCCAGAGGGAGACACAGGATTCTGGAAGTGGTACCTCCAACCTTGGAAAATAGTGAAGAGAAACGCAAATGGCGGTTTTGCTAAGTTCTAGAGAGAGATCTGTACAGATTTTACAGATGTGGAAACACTAATTTGTATCCTTTGCCATTTATGAAGACAGCATAAGCACAGAAAGTTAAGTCAATTGACCAAGATCACACAAGTGGTAAGCAGTAAGTTAGCAATCTGGACCCAGCCTCACTGACTTTGGAGCCTGAATTCTTATTTCTTATCTTATGTTGTTTCTTCTTATAACTTAAAGTGATTAAAGGTTTCCACTGGGAAAATGAAAATTGCAGTATGTTCCATGTGTGCTAAACACTCATTTATTAGAGTCAGAATGCAAAAAAAAAAAAAGCTTGCGTAAAATTGCCAAATTAAAAAATAACTTTATAGAAATCTAGAAGTAGTTTCTGGAGAAATGAAGGTAACCACCAAGAAAGAAAATTTAAAAGAGAGCGCAAGGTGGTTTAGTTGAGGGAGAGAGTATGGGGGAGGGGAAGAGGAAGACAATAGATCGTTTCTTTGCATTTTAAGTCTTCTGCACCTTTTAAATATGTAACTCATGTGCACATATTACTTTGAAAAATTTTCAATTTTATTTCTGTGTACTTTAAAAAGAGTAAATATGGCTTGTTTGGAAGATAAGCCAAATGAGGAATTATAGCAATATTCAAAGGTGGAGAATGGTATGGTTTTGTGTGGCTGGACTGTAGGGTGGTTGGCGGGTTGGTAGAAGTAGCCGGAGATGACTCTGGAAAAGCAGACTAGGGCAAGGCTGTGGAAAGCATCGAATGCCATGCTAAGAGGTTTGGAATTTCCTTTGTTGGCAAGAGGGAACTATGAAAAGTTTTGAGCAGCATGATTCCATCTGTGTTTCAGAAGGCTCACCCTTATGGCAATATGGAGTAGGGTTTGGAGTGTGGGAACGGCTGGAAGCAGGAGCGCCAGAGATGGGCAGTCACACCCATTTTAAGAGACCCTTACAGGCCTGAAGGAAGGTTTTCAACCGGTGAGGAATCCGAAGCTCCATAACTGTGACTGGAATCAAAAATCTTCCTGCCACTTCAGCTGCCTCCCCGGATAGGAGTCTGCTGCCCAGCACCCTCCTGTTGGCTGGGGCGGCCCCTGACCTGGCACACACTGAAGGGGCAGCAGGTGGGTGGCAGCGGGTGGGCCACGTGGAGTGGCCCCGCCTCGCCTCATTCGGGAGCCACTAGGAGCCCACCCCCGGGCGGCCTCTCCTTTCAGCTTTTTTAGACCTTACTATAAACTATGTTTTTGGCCACTTTTCAAGACATATTTTAGTTTTCAGCACAGGATTTTTACCAACTTCTCCCCACCCCCCTCCACATCCTTTAATGATTCCCTTGGTTTTTATAAGAGTTTTTTAGTTTTTTCCTCCTGCCTTGCCAAATCATCTAAGAAGTAGATTTTTTTCCCTCCTCCTTTTATTATTAGTATCTTTAAAATAATAAAATGGAAAAAATGAATGTTGGTAAACTTCTGGCCTCCTGCTTTCTAGGTTCACACCCAGTGGCACCCTCCCTCTGAGGCTCATTAACATTCTCTCCCTCTGAGTGTGCGTGTCTGTGGGACCAGGAGCTTCAGCCCTGTCTCTCCTGTTACATTATTTCCTCTCTGCCTTCTTGCCTGCTTCCCTCCCTCCCTCTCTCCGGTCCTTTGGTTGCCAGGCAACATAGCTCAGGGGCAAGAGGGGCTGGCTGGAGGCGCCCAGCTAAATAGTACTGGTGTTTCTCTCTCTTGTAGCAGCCTGGCTGGGAGTTGGGCCGCTTGTTGAAGGTCAAAGGCAGCCACCCATAGCTGTGGCATTCTCTTCTCTAAGCGTGAACCTGACTCAGGAGGGGAAATACTCGAAGGCAGAGAATGGGTGCAATAGGGCAGTTAGGTTTCCCTTCACACCCAAGAGGCCACGTGCAGGAGAGGGTCAAAGGTGAGCCGAATAGGTCTTTGTGCATTTCAGGAATGCGAATTTCATTTCCTTCTGTGCCTCTCCTTCCACGGACTGTGGTTGAGATTTAGATTTGACACTGCAAAAATGACAAATTCACTTATTTGCAGAGGTCGTGTTTTTGGGTTAGGGATCTACTTCCCCAGTACCGTGTTACTCAAAATATGGTCCTGGGACTAGCAGCATAGTTCTCACCTGGGAGCTTGTTAGAAATGCAAACCTCAGTATCACTTCAGACCTGCTGAACCGGAATCTGCATTTTGTCAGAATGGCCAGGTAATTTGTGTGCACATTAAATTTGAGAACCACTGATCAAATGCTCTACTGTCAATTTGGTTAGAATGAGAGCATGTGGCTGACAGTGGGACTCACTTGTTCCGGAGATTTCTGTTGGTGGTGCATCATAGAGCCATTGCCTTGGGGTCTTCCATGGACTTACGGAGAGGGGGGTGTGCAAATGCAGAGACAGTCTCAGCCAGTCGGGAGCCTCTTCCTCTTTTTCCATCAATCCTTGTCTTATCCAGATGTGAGACCAGACACGTTCAGATATGTTATCTCTCTCTGTCCTCACACAATCCTATGGGATAACGAAGCGGGGTTATTAATCTAATTTTAAACGATGAATGCCAATTTTATTGACGAGGAAATGACTATCACGTTCAAGGTCACAGATCTAGGAACTGGACTTACCTTGCGATTACTGAACATCTCATTTTCCATCTTCCTTTTGTATGTGACCTAGGCTAGAACTTCTAGTCCTTTTCAACATGAAGCTCAGAAAAGTAATTATTACCAAAAAAAAAGGCAATCAGAAACATAATGTTGGGTTTGGTTTGAGTCAAAAATTCCAGCATGTCAGGATGAAACTAAGAACTTTTTCCGAAGCCTCTGCAAATGATTCTAGTAGTTCAGAGGCCCTTTTGAACAAGAGGTTACAGGGATTGAGTTTCAAAGACGAGAATGTCGAAAGAAATCTTCCAGATGCGGATGGTCTCCAGATGTGAACATGGCTCTTCCAGATGTGTGGAAGCACGAGGTGGGGAACATGGGGAGAGAGATGCCTCACATGTCTGCAAAATGAAGTGGAAAAACCGCTCTCAGCCACAGGGAAAGTAGGACAAGGGGAAGAGAAATGAAATGAGAGAAACAGAATCCAAGTTAAACTCTTCAATGTGGGGCCAGACTGACTTGAAGGAGTCATTCCCACAGGGGCTGACATTTAAAAATGCAGTATGCATAGAGGCCACGCCTCAAACTGTCCTCTGGAGAAAACTCAGAAAGTGTCGTGCCTGCAGGAGTTCACGCTCCTTAGACCTGAGTGATCTGATTTGGCACTTGGAGGAGTTTCCCAGTCCAGGCTGCAGAGCAGGCAGGGCAGGCTTTGAGTCTTCCTCCGGAGAGAAGAGAACTGAGGCCAGAATGCGGAAGGAGAAGGAGCCAAGAAGGGCACAGTCCTTTCTTTCTTCAGCTTCTGGATTAGCAGCTCATTCTCCCGGGTATCGCCTGATTGGTTCCTTTACGATAGCTAGAAGGGCCCGTGCTCTCAGATGAGTAAATCTGAAGCCACAGAAAACTGAGGCCTTGTGGCCAAGTCATCGTGGTTTTCACATTTCTGAAAATTTGAGCCACTGTCAAACTCCTGGCTGCATGGAATCAAACCCCTTTATTTCCCTCTGCTGGCACCCTCACCGTCTCCAGGAAGATCTGCCGAATTACTGCTTCAGGTGTATATCTCCCCATCCCCCATGTTCCCAAACCTTTCTCTTCTTCCATGTAAGACTCTCCCTGAGCCCCACTTTCCATGTCACCTTGGAAGTCTGATGTTGATGCCCTCTTACCACTATATTTTTCAGCAACACAAATAACTCACTCTGTGCTGGTCTCACTGGTCTCGCTGCTCCACATTTTTATTTCCTTCTAAAGGTTCTTAGGATCTCAAGAATACATTCCTACAAAACAAGTAAATTTAAGTTGCTAATTATTTACATTATTAAAACGTGTGCACAGGGGCCGGCCTGGTGATGTAGTGGTTGAGTTTGTGTGCTCTGTTTCGGCAGCCTGGGGTTTGCAGGTTGGGATCCCAGGCGCGGACCTACACACTGCTCATCAAGCCATGCTGTGGCGGCGTGCCACGTACAAAATAGAGGAAGATTGGCACAGATGTTAGCTTAGTGCCAATCTTCCGCACCGAAGGAAAAAAACAAATGTGCACATGTAACAATGCCTAAATATTGATCACACACACTGGTATAATCTCTGGCCAAGGTGCTAATAATACAATTAATAATTACTAAGCTGAAAAAGTTAACTAGCCATCTTCTGTTTTCCTATGTGGGACCTAATCTTCCCCTGTGTTCTGCAGCCCAACACATTTCTCAAAGGCCACAGCAGTCAAGAAAGTAGATTACCTCGTTGGAAGATACTGAGACCATTGCAGAGGGCAACTCAGGATCAGTGTACCTTGGGTACATAGATATATGTCATTACTCTGAGAATCAAATACCAGGAAGTACAGTATCGTTGTCATCATCACTACTGGCTAATTGTGAGTTCTTTATTTCCTTTTGTTTTAATCTAACTAGAGTTGAATTCTCAAGCTACTATTTGTTTTAACTTTGATTCTAAGCACATTTCAATATTCCAATTAGTACCTCATTTAATTTTATAAAATTGATTCTGCCCTGGCTCACTGGGATATACATCTTTAAATTTTTATAATGAAACCCATTTAGAATTGGTTTAAGGCTGAGGAAAATAAATAAGGCTTAGGTTTAGTTCAGAATGTGGTTCAGAAAATGTATACACTTCATTCTGGCTTTTAACTATAAACAGTGTATTTCATCCCTCTGGATTGGATAGATTTCTATTTGGGATTTGCAGTGCAAAGGTCTATTTTGTTCTTATAAGTTGGTTGTATTCATCATTATTTTTAAAAGATTCCAGAGAGCCTGGTTTTGCAATTAGCCTACCTTGCCCCCAAATGCTGCACTGTAGCCCTTCCATCATTGCATTTTGCTCAAGCATCAAGCCTATAAAGATTCTCCTCTGTCTTCTATTTCTAGGCTTTTCCCATACCTGCCAGCCCAGAGTCACACATTGCTCCAGGAGAGGTGGCATTTTGGTTCAGTTGCTTCCCTGGTTCAGACAGGCCTGTCCAGAGAGAAGGGATATGGCCTTTCTTCTACCACATAATTCTGCACACAATTCCTGCTCGAGAGATGATCCCAACTGTGCACTCTCCATCTTATTACTCTTCAGCAGTGACTAACGCTCAAGAACTCAGCCCTTGTCTTTGGATTCCAAGGGTGTAATGTCATTTGGAATGTTCCTTTCTGCTGACTTGTTCTCCACCTTTCTTTTCACCTGTCTGTTATGCTTAGCTCTACCCTTTTGCATGTGTTAATTCTAATACTTTGGTCACCTTAACTAGAGAAAATGCCTCAAGAATGAGCTGTTCTCCATCTGTGAGCCTTTATCCTCCATACTATGTCACCTATTCCTTTAATATTAATATATTAGATTAAATCTACCATTTATTATATGCCTATGTGCCAAGCAATTTACTTATATTTATCACATTTATTGTTACTAACAACTTAATCAGTTAGATGGTATTATCCCCATTTTACAGATGAGGAAACTGAGGCTCAGAGAGGCTGAATGCCTTGCCAAGGCCCTGCAGCTGGAAATCAGATTGAACCTGGTTCATTGGACTCCAGAGCCTCTTCTCCAAGGACTTCCAGTTCCGGTTCAGGTTACCACAGGAGGCCCTCTGTGATTTCAAGAAATTCCCAAATGCCCAAACAATCTATTTTAATTCATTTTATTACTAAAAATAATAATGCCTATGTCTCATAGGCGGTGTAATGAAGTGAAAGGCAGGAGAAAAGAACGTTATAGCCTGAAAGGTTGGAAATCACCCCCTCTACACTGAAAGGAAGATTGCAGGTTTCCAATTAGGTGTTTCCCTCGGAATGACTTTGCCATAGGTGTGTAAACCTGCCACAACTCTTGTCATTTGGTGGACTGATTTAACTCTGTAGCTGAAACTTATTGAGGAGATTCCTTCCTAGTTCATGACCTTGCTCTTGGAGATGTAGCGTCTTTCACTGGCAGGCCCTGAGTGACAGAACGAAGGGCTGGAGGTATCAGACTGAGATACAACAGGATCAAGGACTTGACGCTCCTTTTATCAAACAATTGAAAGCTCAGATATTCATTCTAGAACTTGTAACAAGGGAGTGTTTCTATTAAAAGAAAATAGAAAATATTTCCCCTCAAGTTTGCTTGCTTGTGCATACCCCATGGCACCTTCAAGAACAACCTCTCTTGGCCACCAGAGGACAAGACTATGGAAGTATGGAGTAGCAGTGTGGTGGAGTGTAGATTTACTCTCTCATGCTGCCTCCTTCCATGGAGCACGTGAGGCAGCACAGACAATAATGTGAGGCAACAGCAGTGCCATTTTTTCCAGTGGTGGCAATCAATATCTTTGCTGTGCTCCTGGAGCTCTGCAGACAATCCTGAGGGGATCAAACAGGTCCTCTGACAGAAGCCCTAAAGCTGAAATTCACAGTATAACTCTGCAGTCTTATCGCGATAAATGGTATTTCTGGAGGATGCACATGAAACTTTTCTCATGGTATCAAGAAGACTATGGAATACAAAAAGACTACAGAAGAAAGGGTTTAACTTCCAAGCCTTCAAAACAAACTTTTAGGAAAGGGCTTTTTCATCCTTTATTAACTGCAAATAAAGGAGAGAAGGCCATCCTCTTCCCAGGATCTCCCTCCAGAACATTTTGGTACAAGGGAAGGGAGACCAAAGCCCCTTGTTCCTCAGGTTATATGTGATGTTTGCTCAGGACAAATGAGCAAACGTCTTGGAATCCTCATCGTTATGTATCAACTGCCTTACTGGTTGACTCTACAGAGACTCTCACATTAACAAAAATAAAATGATACCTCTGTGGCGAGTCTTTCATCATAGGATTTCTTGGCCTAGTCATCTCACCCCTAATTTGCAGAGATGAGAATAAAAACCAAGAGAGGTCACTAGTTGAAGAACAAGCCATCAGCAGAACACACTGACAGCTCAGCCTTCTTCAACTTGGCCTGCGTAGCCAAGCTATGGGCTCAGCACCTGAGCCTCGTCTGCACTTCTAGCCCTTGATACATACTCTCATTGCAATGGACACGTGGAGTTAGTAGGACGGCGCAAGTCCAGTTGCTGTTGAATTAGTTGCAAATTCGAGCTCAGTTAGGTTCCATAATTATTACCAATCACTCAACGATAATATTGAGCATCTATATACCACGTACTGTGTTGGACACCAAAGAGAGGAAGCAGGTGCTGTGACATTTCAACATTTAACAGAAGAAAGGACAGGCACAATCTTATACTTTTCCTTAGAGAGGAAGTCAATAAATAAACATGAAGCCACTAAAGAATGACATGGAGTATGTTATCAAAATGGCAAAGATGAGAGTATGAACGGAGCACTAGAAGGAATGAATGTCAGTCTCCTGGCAATGTAGCCAGGCCAAAGCATGAAGGAGGGATGGACAGAGACTGGTTTAGAGAGAGGCAGCCGCAAAGAAATGTTATTATTAGGGCAAAGGGGTGGGAATCTTCAAGGTGAATGGAGGGCTGGATAAGAAACGAACATGACTGGAGCCATAGTGCCATGTTGTGCTATAGCAGGCGAGGATGCGGCTGAAGGATGGAGTAGGGTGGGAAAGTAAGGACCATATACAGGTCCTGCATCAGATGTGAAATGGTCTTTCAAGCTAGTTATTCTGAGCAGCGACATGTGGTATCACTTAACACAAAAAACAATTGAAATTGAAACCAAAGAAATCCCTAAGAAGACAGCTCTAATAGTCTAGCATTGAGGAGCTTAAAACATAAACTAGTCTCGATGCTTTTGGAAGGAAGAAAAAGACCTCAAAACAGGAAGTAAGGCAGAGGAACAATTAACAGGACTCAGCAAAAAAAAAAAAAAAAAAAAAAAAAAAATTGGCTATGGGATTAGAGGAGTGATACTGAATGTATTTTGATTGAATCTTGGAATTTTTGACCTGGAAGAGCCCTTAGTTGAATATCCTTATTTTACAAATGAGGAAACCAAGGCCCAGTCGGGCAGTACAGAAGATGTACATACAGATGTACACGTGGGCCAGCGAAGTTCAATTGGGTTCCTATTTTATTTAGAAAGTAACAAATATATTTTAGGGTTCAGAAACAGGAACTTTTGCAATATAATTGGGAGATCAGAGGAAACAGAATATTGGGTTTGGGCTCATAACTTCTCATTTCAGAAAACTTGACCCCTGATAAGCCCTGATCCTCAGAGACCTTTGATGGACAGAGAGTTACTTTGCATTGGGACTAATATTGATGGAGATAATCAGGTCACCACAAAGCCATTGGAAAACACGGTAGGCAGAGGACTGGTGAGATCCTGGAGCGACATCCTGCCTGGGGGGGCTTCGAGATCTGGGGACAGTCAGGCTCGTTTGAGTGACTGGATCTTTTCCAAGGTGCCCCATTCTGGTCTGGGTCACCTGGCTTCCACCAGACCCACGTCAGCTTTACACCATATTATCCACGTTGTGTGATTCTCCGTGACACTGTGCTGGCACCGTCTCTCCGCACCACGTTATATCCAAAAAAAAAAAAAAAAAAAAAAAACTTTTCCCATGGACCAGGAATGCATTTTATTTAGCTTCATTTAAAATACATCGTTCGAGTTGTGTTCCAACTGTGTTCCAATTTATAGAAATCTGCCAAATTCTATAAATATGTATGAAGTCGCAGTGGCCTCCTACACCCATGGAGAGGCCAGTTTTTGGATGGATAACAGACAGGGAGAATTTTAAGTACATCCTGTTCCACTAAGGCCTCCTTCCCCCCTGCCCCCCCCCCCCCATTCTGCTCTCTCTCCTTTTCTTTCTCCTGCTCATCAACCCCCACCCTCCAACAGAAAAAATAATTGCTGTGAGGGCTGAGCCTGGGCAGAGCTGAAGATTTCTTCTTTCTCTTTCGTAAAGTGTTGCAAGCCCTTAAAACGGTCAGAGAGAATAACAGCCTTCTCCCAACACACAAACAAGGCTCTCCTCTAACAAACAGGAAACCATCCCTGGGCTGTGGGCTCCCGAGCCAGGAAATTGGTCTATGCTGCTTTGGCTACCTTCCCCTCAGGTTCTTCCTGGCCATTCAACACAGTTAAAAATAGTAACCACCAAAACCAGAAGAAAAGATGATTTCATTGTCTAACCACTGTAACTTGTGGCCTGATTCGGGTGGTGGCATTTGGAGCTAATCCTCTGACTTGGCATCTTGAGAATTCTCTTAAGGTCAAGGCTGGTCCCTCCCGCAGAGTTTCAACACTCCAGTGCTCCCTGAGAAGCCTGCCCATCTCCGGAGAGCAGTGAATCAGGCAGAGCCGGCTCGCTACACATGCGCATGTGCGCACACGTGCGCGCGCACGTGCACACACAGACACACTTCGGGTGAGTACAGCCGTGGAAATCCACCATCTCCCATGGGCACAGCCTGTGCGCGGTGCAGGCGGCACATGCCCTTCCCGGCTTGTGAAGGCGAGGACGTGGCAAAACCTCTCTGCTGTCTGAGTCAGTCGCTCGTGCTATGGTCTGGAGAGTGCGCATCCTCACCCGGACCTGGCAGGCACAAGAGTTTGTACAACATGCTGAATTCCACTCTTAGCATTGGGGAGCTGTCGGAGTGACCGGTAGGAAAGAGACCTAATGGGCTTCCAAGGTTAAGAGAAGAGAAAACTAGTTTGAGAAGGTACAAAGGGTCGCTAGCAGTTGTTCTTGAGGAATAAAGGAGAAATCAATTTTTACCATGAAGCACCCCACCTCCACCCGGTGCCTTGCAGATTAAAATCCTCTGAACAGAGATAAATTCACAATGATGAAAAGATCCACGTCCCTCAAGATAGGGCTTATGGCTCCCACTTTTGCTTAATTTGCTACTGAATTAATCAGGCAAGTGGGTTTTAAAATAAATTCTATGTGCCTGGCACCTCCTAAAGTGTTGTGGGCATACGGAAGTTGTATAAGATCTGTTTATGTGCTGTGTTTGAGAGCTTTGGAGTTATTTAAAGAAAAAGAACTAATTCAGCCAAAGTAAACTGGAAGCCAAACACATCAAGTATTCAACGAGTTAGGTCCTGAGCACCTACCAGGCACTGCTGTGGGTGATGCAGCCCCGAGAGAATCATGAATAAATGCCTGCCCTCAGGGGGCTTATGCTCGAATGGGGGAGGCAGGTAATAACTAGGGGAAATAAGTACGATATATAGTGTAAGTGCTTAGGAGAAAAATAAAGCAGCG